AAATTTTACAACTAAGGTTCCGAATCACGTCATATGACCTCCGTTTCTTACCAAATTTTACAGACTCAACTTAAATCACATATAAGACATGTATCGGGCTCTGGAACCAAAATACGGGCTNAAGTTTCAAATTTTACAACTAAGGTTCCGAATCACGTCATATGACCTCCGTTTCTTACCAAATTTTACAGACTCAACTTAAATCACATATAAGACATGTATCGGGCTCTGGAACCAAAATACGGGCTCGATACCATCAAATTCAAACATATTTCATTTCCAAAAACTCATATATATTCCAAAAAATAATTTCTTTAAAAATTCATTTCTCGGGTTTGGGACCTCGGAATTCGATTCCGAGCATATGCCAAAGTCCCATATTTTCCTACGGATCCTTCGGGATCGTCAAATCACGGGTCTGGGTCCATTTACCCAAAATGTTGACCGAAGTCAACCTAAATTCATTTTAAAAGCAAAATTCACCATTTTTTCACGAATTTTCACATAATGGCTTTCCGGATACACGTTCGGACTGCGCACGCACATCAAGATGAGACAAAAAAGGAGGTTTTAAGGTCTCGGAACATAGAATTTAGTTCTAAACAATGATGACCTTTTGGGTCATCACACTACTTGCGTTTAAATTTTGCATTTCCGCTGTTTTTACTCTCTGTGAAATATCGGCATAGTTGAATTATTTTCTCATTACAAATTTTAAGATAAGTCAACCCTGAGAAATATTCTCATGGCAGACCAAAACTTCACATGTTCAGCTGAAACTATATGTGGCTGTTGGTATAGAATGTTTCAAAGGCAACCAAGATTCTTAACTGATTTAAGGTAAGAACAGCAATAGAGACTCCTTATATAAACATTGGACTAGAGGAAATTATACATTTGACCACGAAGAGTTGAAAAGTGGGCAAATAAACAAAACAAGATGGATGAAGTGGGAATTCCTTAAAAAATCTTCTTGTGAATAAATATTAAAAAAAACAACTTCATGGTAGGCAACTTAGGGGTTTGACATTCTCGAGTCCCTAGACTTTTTCAAGTTCCTATATTTGTTTGCTCTACAAAACCTTACTTACTCCAAACTCCATACATATAAAGTTCCATACTCTAAATTCAGCTTTCCTCCAATAACAAATCTTCCTTCACTACCAAAACCCCACAAAAGAAAAAGGAAAGTGTTTTCTTACCTCAAAAAGCAAGAAAGTCCCGGAAAATGGAAGGGCATACAGGACAACAAGAGGAGCTATTTGCAGAAATTGATCAAAAAACAGATGATCAAGCATTCAGTGATGGTGAAGCAGCTTCCTGTACCACAGATGGTAATGAAATAGTGAATATTGTCATAGCAGATCCAATTTTGCAAGCAGACTCTATGCCAAGAGAATATACATACTCGTGGAGAAGACGAATTCAGAAAGTTTTACCCCTGCTGAAGATGGATGAATACAACAGGCACGAGTATGATCCAAAGGTAGTTTCATTGGGACCTTATCACCATGGTAAACCAGAGCTGCAGCTAGCAGAGGATTTCAAGCATATAGCCCTTGAAATGTTTGTCTCAGGTAGTAGCAAGGACGTAGCTTATTTCTATAACAAGATACTAGAAGTTGTTGACAATGCAAGAAATTGTTATGTTGATGGCTCCACGGACAAGTACAATGATCATGAATTTTCCTTAATGATGCTTCTTGATGCCTGCTTTATTATCAACCACATCGAGCTTAGCACATCGGATAGGTATAACAAACTCAGAACCACCAGGCACCATCTTGGAATGTTGGCGTTATCAACAACAGTTCGAGACATGTTTTTACTTGAGAATCAAATTCCTTTTTGGATCTTGAAACTCTTGATCAGCTTACGATATGACAAGGATGAAGGAGTAGAATTGCTCGAGATGTTCTTGAATTTCACCCTCTTTGGTGAATATGATAAAAAAGGTGAAATGAGTTACAAACATGCAGAAGAACCTCTGCATCTTCTTGAAGCATTTAGAACAAGACTTGTCTCACAACACAGTGAAGTCAGGAATTTGCATCGTACTTGCACACCTCAATGGCTCAAAAGGAAGAAAAGTATTTGCAATGACCGCGCTAATATGAAAAGTTACATTCACTCCTTTCGTTCGGTCACTGATCTCAAAGCTAAGGGAATTTACTTCAGGCCTAGCTGTACTCATTCATTGAAGGACATAAAATTCAAATCAAGATACTTCTATGGCCAGCTTGAACTTCCAACTTGGTATGTTTCTATCTACACAAAGGCATTCTTCTTGAACATGATAGCCTATGAGATGTGCCCAAATACTGTTACTGATCGTGCTGTGACATCGTACGTATACTTCATGAAGTCGCTAATCGAGAGCCCCAGGGATGTAAAAGAACTACGCGAAAAACAGATACTATTCAACATGCTTGGGAGCGATGAGGAAGTGGCAAGAATGTACAAGGAGATCAATACTTATGGAGTGAACAATGCGCACATTTTCTACAATGTGAAAGAAAAAATTCAGGAGCACTACCATAACAGGGCAAAAACATGGATAGCTGAGCTGATACACACTTACTTTAGGAGTCCATGGACTGCTCTAGCATTACTTGCAGCTACTTTCTTGCTTTGCTTGACTTTTACTCAAACCTACTTTACAATAAATCCCAATCCCAGATCATGAGCAAATGTAATTATTTTCTGCATTGAGTTGAGAAATGTACTGGTACTTGGTGATGTCCAATCCTAAATCTCGATATGAAGCACTAGCAATAATAAATCCAACAAAGGTTAGGGTTGATCCCACGAGGAGTGTGGTGTGTGCTAGAGTGTGCTAAATTGAGAACATAATGTAATCTTCAAAACAAGCGTTGGATTTGCAATTACTGCTACAATAATAACTAAACAACTAAAATTACTTCAATAAGGAATTAAATCAAACATGTAGAAGGCAACTAAAAACGGAGTGTTTTCTTGTAAAGAGAAGGAGCAGGGTTATAACCTCAATATGAATTAGTTCATGGGTATATCTAGCTTTTACTTAAATACTATACATCAGTGATTATGGTCAAACATGCCTAGGAAAGTAATTAATGAAAGAAAACAATATTCTAATAATGCAATAAATTATATAATAATGCCCCAAAAGAGTATCATGGCTTTTAGAAATAAATAGAAGTCTACTGAAGCAAGTATGATAAAGGGGAGACAAGATTTGGGTGGCAAATCTATAATTTTTTGTAGGCAGAATTGTTCGAATCCCCAACTTTGTTTAGTTAATACTCCCTTAAACTTAGAAATTTAAAAGTCTTGACCCTCCTAGATGCTGATGTGACAAAGAGCTTGAATATACTCTCTTTTAGGGGTGTGGAAGAAAAGAAAAATCGAAAGATTAGCTTTCAAATGGCGTATTTTTTAAATATTAATTGTCACATAATCAAATATAACGATTTATTTGTTTTAATTGTATTTTTCATTTTTTTTTCTTAATATACATAGCATATTTTTTTCGAATAGCATTTTTTTTTTAAAAATACAATGAATATATGTTTCAACTATATATTTCTTATCCTTTTTATCGGTGCAAATCTACAAAAGTTAGCTGAAACTCCATATATTTTAGTCAAACAAAAGAAGATTTAGCTCAAATAGTATATTTTTTACAAAAAGAAAAAAGTACATACTGTGTATTTTTATTTTTATTTTCATGCAATGATTATTTATTTAAACTATGCATTTTTCTTTTTCGAATCAAATTCGCAAATATTTAGTTGGAATTTTACTATTCTCAGCTAAAAATTTTATTTGGCCAATATATGGAGTTCCAACAACATATTTTTTTATTTTTAGATGCAATGATAATATGTTCTAACTATGTATTTCTTCTTTTTCCGACCAAATATAATAGTCAAACGAAAAATTATAGTCAAAATAATGTTGTTTCAAGTTTTTTATATAGATTTTGGCACAAAAAAATAATGTAAATAGTTTGTGGATTTAAAAAGATAAAAATATATATTTTATTTTAAAAATATTACATGGACAAAAAATCCATGTGGCACGTGTATCACACTCCCATATATTGTCAGTCGAGGCTATGAATGTAACATACCTCAAAATTTTATAACTTACGAGACACTAATAGTATGAATTATAATATCAAAGATCATATTTTTGGTTATGCCATGAAATGTTTAGTTCCTACGTGGCTGGGTAAAAAAAATGATTTATGGGCCTAAAGCCCACAAAGTGGCTTGGCAGCTAATTCATGTGGAAAAAGAACACCTAGGGAACAAAGTTTCCCCTATGCTTTAAGCCTTTCCTCTTTTATTTAAGGAAAATGGGTGATATAAAATAATATGTTAGGAATGTTTACCTCCTATAGTAAAAAAATTAAATTCTATAGATATCTTTTAAGGTTTATAGCAAAATTTTTAATTTTGGTTATCTCCTAGCCCTAAACCACTAAATACGCTAATCAGTTACACTATTTTCTTTCTCTCTCTACTTTGATACATCTCATTCTCTTCTCCCATCCCATTAAAATTTCCGCTCTCCTTCTTCCACCGGATTTGTACAAAGCCCACTTCAGAGCAGGTCCACTCTCCTATAAGTCTTTCCCGGCGGCGGAATTGATAAACCAACTGACATAGAATTGATTGATAAACCAACTGATAGAGTTGATTTTGATTGATTGAGCCCACTTCAGAGTTGATTCTTTACACCAACTGACATAGATTGATAAACCAAAAAAGCCATGGAATTTTTCCTTAATGTTTGCTTGTGCAATTAAATATAGCAGCAGTTCGTTAAGCATGATCTCACCAGAATTGGAAGAAGTCATCTTGCCAAACAACTCAAAGTGAAATTTCCACGAAGGAGGCGCATTTTCACTACCGGCTTTCAGTGAACGGCGGATTCGCCGGAAATTAGGGTTTGTTCTTGAACAAAGACGATGGAGTTTGGGGCTGAGCAACTTGATTTTCTGTTAATATATTTCAATATATTTTCATGTATTTCATCATATTCATTGTCTTTTTTTTTTCCAGTGTAATTCAATGTATATCGTTATATTCTATGTATTTCATTGTATTCACAGTCTTTTTTTCATTATATTTCAATATATCTCGTTGTATTCTATGTATTTCATTGTATTCACTCTCTCGCTATATCCCATGAATGTATTCATATGTTTTTTAATTAATATAATTTATGTGTTCAGATGTATTATATAATTTCTCTGAAGATTGCTATATTTCTGGGGTATTTTTCGGTTAAGAATCTTTTTTGTAACTGAAACTACAAAATTTATGTGTTATAATTGAGTTTGTTGAGTTATATTAGGAGTCTATTATGTTAATTGATTCACTTTCCGTTTTAAAAATAGTGTAATCCCTATTTCACGTCGTCAATATAGTCGAATACAATAATCTGTCCAGCTGTAATCCCATGTTTTACTCCATGAATACAGTCGAATACACTCGAATACAACAACTGATTAGTTGGACTTCCCTGATTCACGCCTATTTTTGCTACTGTATTCATGAATATAATAGCTTAAATACATCAAATACATCTTATAACCACATAAAGAGTATCTATAATCCGTAATATAGCAAATGGTATCTATAAATGGCTAATTACTACTAAAAGATAGTGCTTTATGAAAATTTCTCTATTTTAAAGGGTAAAAGTCAGACCCTTTAAACCCAATCACGGTACCCATCACCAACACCCTTTCCATCATTTACTAAGAAAGAACAAGGCAGCGTGTAGGTCATTGTGAGAGCTATTTTGCAGGATCTTTTTTAAGCTACGATTGAGGTAATTTTTTTTTTATGAAATTGTAAGCTATAACATCATTATATACTAGAATCTAACACCCTAATAGAGTGAATTCATAGAAAAGTTTTACAAAACTTCCGAAACACCCATCAAGTACGAGTTAGGTTTTTGGTATTACAGGATAAACTCTTCACTTTTATTGGTTTGATATAACGGGTTAAGGTTGTTAGAGATAGTAAATAATTATTAGAACAAGACCTCACCCAAAAACTTAGAAATTTAGAAGTTGAACCTAAAGTTCTTAGCATCAAGAAAAGATAAATATTCTGGGAAAGTTGGATACTTATTGTGACTTATTGTTGTAGTATTTGATCGTTGAGTTGATTACAAGAATTGGATCTTACATTGTTGCTTGAAAGGAGAAATTGAGGTGAGTGAATATAACCCTTTACTAAAGTGATTCTACTCACAAAAATATGTCCACAAAGTGTTTGATAAAATGCTTTAAAGAGTCAACATGTGCTTATTTGGAACGATTGAATACATATTGACTAAGTATCTAGTTAAAGCTTATATATTTTACTCGAGAAGTATAATCATCTATTTTTTATATTTTTATGCTTTATTACATGATCTTACGTGTTAAAGTTTCAAGAGTTAGATAGAACTTTTAGAAATACTTTGAGTTAGTTTATTTCATGCTTATGCTATGTATACACTCAAGAATATTATTATGAATAATGATAGATCACTTTCAAACAAGATTTAAACTTGAAAAGTCACAAGAAAAAGTTTTAGAAAGATAATATTTTTTGGAGTATCCTCTATCCTAAGAAGGGGTCATCGTCCAGGCCGAGGTTACAGACCAAGGCGTTGACTTCCTGAAACTACTTGTGCCAAAGTAGGAGCACACGAGCCAAGGGTCTCGTTGCTAAGAATTTTCCTAGCCAGGAGCACATGAGCGCTGAGAACCATGAAACGAGTGGCAGCTTGGGGATTGGTCCTGTTCGATCAGGTTGGGATCAAACCCGTGCCGATCACACAATAACTAAGACAGAAAGAAGTCAGGATAGTTGGAACTCCCGAAGCATAAAGTGAAGTCATTATTTTTAGATAAGAAAGAAAAAGAAAAGAAAATGATTTCTTTTAGAGTATTCATAAATTGTTGTTATGCAATTATCTTAGAATTGTCCTTAGAAGATTTATGTTTTCCATGCATTTAGAATCTTTGCTTGTAGTGTATATTTTATCACGTCTCATTCTTTGCTTTAGTGGGGGGTTGTTGAGACTCACTGAGTACAGTAGATGGTATTGACGTTATCTTTTGAGAGCATGTGTTAGTATGCGGTACAGTGTAAGACCGGTGTTACAGGCGAGCAGGTTACATGTTAGGACTTCCCACACTTTCGATGTTATTGATGATCTTCGCTTTTATTCGTGGAGTATTCCTTTGAGTCATTATTATTTAGCTATTTCTTTGGTTGCTTGGAGAACTAGTCAGGAAGTCTCATATCCTGAGCAGTGCATCAGTTTATCAATAGAGACTTCATAGACATAGTCGGTGGGTTAAGATTCAGATATTTTTAATAATAACTTAGCAATATTTCAGTAATCACTACGAACAAAGTTTTGGAGTTGGTTATTTTAGATATTCAAATTAATTAAAAGTATTTGGTTAAAGTATTGCCTTGTTGCATCTAAACCTAAAATTTAAAATTATAATAGATTTGATAAGCGCAGATGGTTCGGTCAGTCAAGTTTAATGACCAGGTGTCGGTCACGGCTAATTTAGAAAATGGGTCGTGACAATAAAATTTCTAAGTTTATGGGATATTAAAGACCACTTAAATTATAAGGGGGAATTAAACTAAAGTTACCAAGTTCGGGGAGGGGGAAAGG